CCCCAAAACCCCAAAACCCCAAAACCCCAAAACCCCAAAACCCCAATCCATTAATTTAAAATTGGTTATTTAAATTTAGGCATTATGGGGCAACCTCATTTCGTCTTCAGATTCATCTCATTTGCAATATATCTGCTTGAGATTCCTTTTGCTAAACCTTTTAATCATAAACTTACCTCTTGACTACAAGAGGACTCTTTCTGTTATGATTTACATATTTAGAGAATAAATCAGTAGACTTGTTCAAATTTGACTTAAAAATATTTTGAGGAGTCTTCGCTTGTATGTTAATTCTTTTCTCTCGATAAGTCTTCTTGCCATAATTAGTCTTATTAGTATTCTCCTTCCCTAAATCTGACTTGTAGCTAACATAGCTAGAGTTGAGGATACTATCTTCTGTGTGTCTCCTATACTGATTGGTGGCAACCTTCATCTTGTTATCTCCATGGTAGTCCAGCTTTACATCTTCATCAGTATGCTGCACATCACTCTGATTCAAAAGAGCTTTACGTTTCTCCAATATCATAGAGTCTTCATTCTCTACGGTACATGACTGATTCAAGGCCTGTGAATTACCTTTGGTTTCATTCTTTTTCATCTTAGAGTACAAACTCCTTGGACTTGTGTTTGAATAGCTGACTGAGTTCTGCATGTCAGCCTTCCTCTTACTATGGGAACTCCCAATAGACATCGAGTCATCGAAGCCTGTATGGTGCTTCTTATGAAGCTTCCTAGCATTTTCTCCTTTCGATAAATTTGGATTAAAATAATGGAACATTGATCCCTTCTGAGATTTGTTCAAGACCGAGCGGTTTGATGTAAGCTCATGTTGAGTTGAAGTCCCTTTCTTTGATATCTTTTTCCTAAAATTTTAGTGTTGCACATCTTACTTCTGATGATATTTTGGTTGATTTTCCTTATCAAGATTGCCTCTATCTGATGTATCTGATGAGAACCCTTCCTTGTTCCTACTCTTGAGGTAGGAATTACTGCTATTGACCTTACATCTTTGATAAGGAGAGAATCCGGTACTTGAAACCTCACTGATGTTCTTCCTCATATTGTCCTTAAATCTAGTCTTGATTAATTTCTTCGCTTTCAATGGACTATGTTTGACTGTATTTATCACTTTTGGCCTGTTGAAATTTTTAGGCGTTGTCGATGAATAATCCTGATGCTCCTGATCGCCTGGTTTGCTCGCTTGACTAGTTCCTTGATTGATATATTTTGAGAAATCGAGGAACCTTTCAGATCTTTTCTTCGCATTTTTAGAATTACAATAATTACTCTCTTTCTCTCTAATTCTTTTAACTCTTTCATTCAGCTCCTTATGCTTCTCCCTCTTCTGCTGAATCAAAGGCGAGTTTGTACTTGGGTGCAAACCCTTCACGAATGAGGAGTTCAGATATGTAGATTTTGCTTTATTTCGTCTAGTTGGTGTCTTCTTGCCTTTATTCACTGATTTATTTGTTCCACTATCACTTTGCTTCACCAACGGAGATTTATGAGTAAGAAAATATTCTAAAAATAAAGAGAGAGAATACCGCTATATTTTGCCTTACTAAGAAAGGAATTAACCTTTTCATCATTCTTAGTGCTATCCTTAGTTCCTTTCTGCTTCTGTACATCATTGGACGACCTTTTGGAGGTAGAAGGAGTTGTACGCATCTTGGACCCAAAACTTGTAAAATCTCTATGAATTTCCTTACACTTGGTACTCTTTTGGATAGGACTTTTGTTGATTTTCTGGTCTAATTTATTGCTCTTCTTTACAGGCTCCTGACTCTTCTTCTTGAACCTCTCCAAGTGCTTATTTATAAGCTTGTTCCATTCGATCTTTTCTGAGGAACATGGGAGTGCGACATCTGCTTGTCTCAGGATTATTCTTCCTCTGATTTTCATGGTCCTCCTTGACTCGTTTAAAGTCTTTCATCAAGCTAAGTCTCAATTCATCGTCATTTAACGAATAAAACCATTCATAAATTTCGTCAGTCTCTTGATCGAACTCTTCAAGCATATTATCTGCTAGAAAATCATAAAATTTAGGAACATTTAGCTCAGCTTGTGAGTTATAATATTTATTCTCAGCCTTGAGCTTCTCCTGTAGCTTAGCCTCGATCCTGGAGATCTCAGGCTGCTCCTGTATATTTTCTTGGCTTCCAGTTTGAACTTTGTTTGACATATTACTAATCCGCGACTTTTGAGTATTCAAATATTTTAATTTGTTAGGGGTTTTGGGGTTTTGGGGTTTTGGGGTTTTGGGG